GGCGGAGCGGGCAAGGAGCACCTGGAGAGCGGCCGCATGTTGTGGCGCCGCAGCGCCTCCTCCTCGTAGCTCAGCAGCTTCAGCTTGTCCAGCAAGTCCTCCATCAGCACGAACACGTGATAGGCCGCGCCCGGGCCCCGCTCCCCAGCTGCCACCCCCTCCTCGTCCCGCTCCCCCATCGCCGCCCCGCGCCGAACCCCGCCGCCACCCGCCGCCTCTTGGAGCCCCGCCGCCGCTGCTCGTAACCAAGGCAACAAACCCTACCAATCCCCGCCTGCCTCTGCCTCGAACCCCACCTCCTGCTCCAATCACACGCTCCCGGGGTGCGAGAAGCCAATGGCGACGAGGCATGCCCGTGTTAACATCCAATCACCGTTTCACAGCGGCGTGACAGCGACAGGGACCATCTCACCCCTGCTCTCCTTACGAAACGGAGAGGGGAAGGCCCGGCGGGGGGGCAGGGAAGATGGCGCCCTTAGTTTACTCTGGGGGCTGGAGGTGCTCGGGCAGGAGTGTCTCCTTTCACCCTGCTCGTAGCAGGTTTTAAGCCGCACGGTTCGGGGCCTGGCGTGTGGAGGGCAGAAAGCCGGTTCTCCCAGGAGGGCAGACACCCCTTCCTTTCACCTCTTTCTGCGTTTTGTTTGTTGTGTTTCGCGGTTTTTTTGTCAGCCCTCTTCCCTGAGATACTTGAGTAGTTCTATCGCTTTCCTCTACTGGAAACCAAATAGTGCCCATGAAGCTTGAATCGTCCAGAGAAAATGAAGCACTAATGAAATATTGTTAGAAAATAATTACCTAACCCTGCGGACAGCCCAGGGCACCTACTGCTCTTGTATCAAATTACTGGCTAAGAAAAGTCGTGATAATTTGTATTTCACTTTCTTTTTGTCCTGTGCCCATACAGAATCTACCTCGCTCCCTGCCTCAGGTTCCTGTGCTCTGCCTTAGAGAACTGCTGGCGTCTACTGCAGCTGCAGTGCCCGTGCGCTCGTGAACACTATCCGTGTCACCACTGCCATGGAAATCACATTTCTGACCATAATTTCTTCTGTTAGTCAGTTGCTCAGCTTGCAGGAGTTAGTTATCATTAAAGAGTTTGTTCAACAAAGCCAGGCGAAAGTTAATCGTTACGAGAAAAAGCTTTTTAAGCCCAGAGAGGGAGAAGTGAACGCAAAAGGTGTGGCAGCTTCCCAAGTATAGAATTGGTTTCACTTTCGCTACACTCACCGCGTGCGTTCCCTAGAGAAACAACTGCTTTCTGGGACAGGAATGAACTTCCATGTTAAACACTTTGTGTGGGCGTGCCTCTGGCTGGAGCAAGGAAGAGGCAAAGTTCCATGGCTTCGGGAGAGCTGTATATTTGTTTTATTTTTATATATATATATAAAAACCCTGCCTGCAAGAAACATCTGAAAGAGCAGGACTCTGAATTTTTTGGCTACTTTTTTTTTAGAGGTAAAAACCCCCCTGATGTTCTTATAACACCTCTATAGTGTTATAAGTGCGTGGGGTGGGGGAGGTGGGGAATACGATACGTGTACATTGTGGTGAAAGACAGCACTTTTGGTGTACTTCCTAAGACAATTTTGGATGTTTAGAATGTGGGTACCTTGGGGAGTATTTCTCAACAATTGAAGTGTGGAGATGGAATTTCAGTCATAAGGGTTTCGTTTTGGGGAGGTGAAGAATTAATTCTCTTTTCTACTACAGAAAATGCCTCCTGAAGATTCAGTGGGGAAATTCTGGAAAGCTAGTATCATAGTGGCTGTTACGAGATTTTAGCACTATATGATTAACATGGGATTTTTAGAACTTTAGACATTGTTTTTTCTTGTTTGCTTGTTGGTAAAATTCGAAATCCTCGGGCATTTCCAGTCCGTGTAAGTTTGTGCATGCTTGAAATGTGCTGCTGTTGTTACCTTGAGAAGGAGTTAATCAGAAACCTTTTTACTAAGGAATAAATAACTTTTGTTTGACGGGGTTAGGAGAATATTACAACATGCATGGCTGCTCTCAAAGTGCGTCACAGAGAAAATTTCACTGAGCAGATTGAGCCCGATGCCTGTGTGCTAGGGGAGCACTCTGATCAGGGCTCATGCTGAAAGCAGAGTTCAAAGATGGTGCAGGATGTAGCACAACGATTTGGTCACTGACTAACAGAAGAAAAAGGAAGCATGTGCCTTTTGATGTTCATTTCCTACAGTGGCCAGAGGAAGTGCAATATTGCCCCTACCACTGCTCAGTATGTATTGGAAGATGCATTTCAGTGCCTTGCCTTGCCTTGCTCTCAGAAACCCTGACTGACCTGCTGCCCGATTGAGCCTGTGGTGGGTCTATATGAAATAAGTCTCCTGAAAACTAGAGCATCAGTAACTGACATGACTACAGTGGTCTTAATTCTAGTCGTATGCTCTATGTATAAATAATTTCATATTGATATTTCACTACAATGCCTTAGGGTATGATTTCCTGGTTATGCCATTTAGGTCTGTAACAAACCTAAAAAACATGGTTTCTTCAGTACTTCGCAGTCTGACTCTTTAGCTATCAGCATACACATACTTGATGCCTCTAAGACCCCAGACCTGCTGAAAAGACTGGCCAGAGTGTAGGCTCCTCAGGTTTTTCTACAGACCATCAAACATTTTCCTTAACACATTACAATGGGAACATCCAAAGCCAAGATTTGTGTTGAACATGAAAAATTTGGCTAACTAGTTGCAGTTCTGTATTTCAGTACAGCTAAAAGATGTGAGGCAGCCTGTGCTGTCTCAGCTTCCCTCCTTGGTGCAGCCCCCAAAGGCACCACAGAGGTACTGTTAGAACCATGTTACTCTCAGAGCGTTGCTGCTATTTAAACGTGACTGTCTATTAAACATGGCAGACCACGAAATTTAGGAAATTTATCATTAATTGCAGTTTCTGAAATTCAAACATCACAGTATATTGCATCAATCAAGTTGGAAGTGATGGACACCTGAGCAAATGAGCAAAAAAATCAAATAAAACATAATGTACACCACTTGCCAATGCAAGGAGAAAAGAAGGTAGCTACTGGCAATTGCTGCTAACATGGAACAAAATTATATATCATGAGTGTTTTACTCTTGCATCACCTCTGACTCAGGTTTAATATTCTGGTGCCCCTCTGTTGGTTTGGTGGGTTTTTTCCCCCTAATAGAAAGCTGAGAATACATAAAATAACCACACTAGCTTTACAAAAGAAATAACAGGCAAAAATCCTTGGGATGTAAGATTCACACCCACCACAAATACAGTTACACACATCAGTCAAAATTATTCATTAGTATTAAAAGAACTGGCTAGCAAGCCTGGCTAAACCTGTGCTCTGTGTAAGTCAGGAATGTCCTTTGGGGAGAAGAAGAGGACTAGGGGAAGCTCTTTAAACTCTTTTCAAGCTATTTGTTTCATGAGATAATTTTCCCACTGTGGTACACTGTATTTTAAAGTAGCATGCCTGGGTGGAGGAAGAGTGTGGTCTATCAGTTACAGTAAGATTATTCTTTTTTTGTTGTGCACGAGAGCTTCCAGTTCATTGTTATTTAAGTGACAAACAAGTAGACGTGATGGGACAACTTCCTCCTTCTTTGTATTCCTACGTTAGACTACTTCCATACACATTTTTGGAAGTTCAGCTGTGATGTCCTTTTGATCTGGTGAAAAGTAAAGTGTAAAAACTTCTTTATATCTGAAATATTTGCAAATGGAGGCAAATTTCCCACCCCAGAAAGTAAAATGTTGCAGTAATCAGAAATACACTTTAGGAAGTAGAAAAAAAAAAGTTGACAAGGGACATCTTACATCCATTTGGAAATTGTGCTTGACCATTTTTCCTTGGCGTCCTCTTCGTGAATGATGAAGATTAATGTTCCCTAGCCCTGTAAGAACACTGAGGGTAAACACTTTATTAAACATAAATAGCAAGTATCAGTCTACAAGGGATTATATGGTAATGAGAGGGCCTCAACCATTATGAAATGTATAGTGTTACATAATGACCTTAAGGCCAAAAATCTGGGCCAAGACTGTTGCAAAGATAAAACATGATACAAAGACCTACAGTCCTTAATAAGCTTAATAAGCAAAGGATGTTATATAGAATCGTAGAACAGTTTTGGTTGGAAGTGACCTTCAAGATCATCAAGCCCAACCTTTGTCCCAGCTCTACCAACACCACCAAACCACGTCCCTAAGTACAACATCTACCTGTCTCTTATACACTTCCAGGGATGGTGATGGCACTGCCTCCCTGGGCAGGCTGTTCCAATGCCTGACAACCCTTTCAGTAAAGAAATTCTTCCTAATATCCAGCCTGAACCTCTCCTGGTGCAGCTTAAGGCCATTTCCCCTTGTTCTATCAATATATATATAATTAGTGTATGTCTTTTACCTGCATTTAAACTGTTTTTTCTCCCCTCTTTTATGTTGTCAGTTTGACATGCCTCTACTATGAACCAAAGGAGACATGAAAGGACAGAAAATACCATTTCTTATTATCTATTTATTTCACAGAGGTGCTACGCTTTGGGGTAGGTTTTAGCTGTATTTTTTATGAAAAATAATAAAGACAACAATTATTACTAATTTTTTAATTGGGGGGAATTAAGTAATTCAAACACTGTTTGTTAATGGTAAAGAATCAATTTCTTTACTGTTGTAATGTAAAACACTCCTGAAGCAAAAGATGACTGTTTGAAAGATGACTATGTGGATGGCCATGGCCATCGAGCACCTTGAGCACCCAAACTGTTATCTGCCAACAGATCTGCCCCACGGCTCGGCTGGTGGAGTGCGTCGCATGACTGCTCAGCAGGCAGTAGTTGTCAGGTCTTACTGAAAATTATTTGAAGTACATTCATTGACATAGTACTCAGAAGACTGAGGAAAAGTCATCTGGATTGCCCTGCCAGATAAGTTGGAGTGGGCATCCAAATTTCTGAGAAGGAAGCTCCAGCTGGATACTCACTACCAGACTTAGGAGCCGTTGGCACACTTGGTAGGACTGTGCTGCCTGCCAGAGAGTTTTTTTTTGTCAAGGACAAGGAGGGGCAGAAATACGCTTGTAGACTAGATTTAACTTATTCTTTTGTACTTACGGGATTTAGGTTTTACAGAACAGAAAACAGTAACAGGGCTGTTTTCCAAGGATTGCATCCTCCCTTGTCCTTTCCCACCTGGGCATGATGAAGTAATTTACTGGAAGAAAGGGGACAAAAATGTGCACAGCTACTACTACAGGAGCGATCAGCTGGAAAGACAAGATCCGGATTACAGACACAGAACACACCTTTTCTATGAGAGCATTCCTAGTGGAAACGCCTCCTTGAAACTTAGTAACCTGACCTTGACTGATGAGGGCTCTTATAATTGCTATGTGGGAACACAGCAAACTACAACAGAAGTGGAAGTCACGCTGCGGGTGAGAGGTCAGTAAGATGTCAAAAGTGCTTGGATTGCGCCAGCGGAAATAGGATTACACCAACAGAGTTTCTCGTGTTATTTCTTACATGGAATCAAAATCCTCCAACCCAACACCTTTTGGGCCTGGTGGTGTTATCAAGCAATTAATTTTCTCTGTTGAACATTGTAACATGAGATGAAAAATTACAGTGCAGCGCTTGTTCTCATAACCTACTGCACCGTGATTTCTAAGGGGTAATTAGGTTGTATACTTGAATTTTTAAAACATGATGTTGCTTCTCAGAACAGTACAAACCCTGGCATTGACAGTAAGTAGTGCTATGCTTTCTTCTGAAATCAAACACAAATTAAATTTTGTTCTCAGTTCTGTTTATTCTCCCCAATGTTATTTCAAAAGATCAATCACTTCAGGTTAAAAAGCATTTTGAAAGTAGTAGGATTGATTTTTTTAATTTTTTTTTTTTTTTAATCTACAGTTTCCTCTTATTATGCACTGGAATACCAAAAGACAGACACAGAAAGGATGCTGAAGTGCTATGCCTTTCTCACTTATCCAGCACCACGTATATTTTGGGTACAAGGCAATACATTCATCCAAGAAACAGATCGGGAGGAAACCAGGGATGGAGAACTCTATTCTTTTAGAAGTGACCAGAACATTATAAACACAGCTGATCCATACTGCTGTCATATTCATCTCCCTCATGAAGAATGGGCTGCTGAATGGAAGATGCAAGGTAGGAACAAATGGAAGTCTCCTCCTGCATCGTTACTGAATGTCACAGCTGGTTTCAGAGCCAAATTAAATACTGTATTTCTGCAGTGGGGAAACACGGATATGGGATGGTGCAAAAGGATGCGCCTTCCTCTTTGAAACTCATCCGTTACAATTACAGGGCAGCGTATGTCCAACCAGTAGAGGTGAGAGGCAGTAGCTCACACTTCTGTGAGCTTTACTCTGAACATTTCTTCCACATCAGTTTCACATTTTAAGAGGTGCCTAATAATCGAACTTTACACTCTACCAAGAAAAGAATGAACTCAGACAAAATACATGGAAACCTTAGTGAACCTGTGGGTTATATAAGGGAGGTGAAAGTTTGCCTGCTGCTGTAGGTGTGCATGCTCCTCTCTCCGTCCATTTCCCATCTTTTGCCAGATTTTTATCAGTACCGTTTGATCTTTTCATTGTACTTCTCTTAAAGTGCATTCTTAAGTGCTCGAGATGAGTGCTGGGGGTGCACGGGAGTGGGGAGCAGCATTTGCATTTGAGCAAACAGCAGCTCATTCTGTTAGTTAAGGAAAAACAGGGCTATGAAATTTCAACTTGTCCTCCTCAATTTCACTGGAAGTTCAGTTCAGGTAAATAACTGGTTCTTTTCAATGTCTCCTTTTTCTTAGGGAATATTTTTTAATTGGATCAAGAGCAATGCACACATCAGATGTGCATGGCTGCTTCCATCACTCGGAGTTCCCTCTAAAGTGTACCCAGACACTCTTTGTTCCTAATCTACTGCATTGCTTCAGAACAGGAGTGCAGCTTCTAATTTACATACCGTAGCTTACAATATGGAAGGTTTCAAGTATGGCATCATAGTAGTTAGCAAGTGCACTGTAAGTGTCTATAGCTTTGTTAATCTATCCTTCCGATCCACAAGAGAAAAAGGTACATTTCATTACATGTTTGTTTGAATCTCCCTCCATCTGTCTGTCCTCTCACTGGAACATTTTGAAAATACACTCCTTTCCTTTTCCTTACATATGTTCATTCATCCCCACACATAGAAACCAAGCGTGGTTATACCATGTCAAAGTAACGTACTAGTTTCCTCTCCAGCAGACTGCCAGCCACCACGACCTCTTCTGGTTTTCCTTCCTTTGCAGTAAATCCCTGCTGTCAATTGATAGTTGGTATGGTAGTAATTTGTCTTACATTAGTATTTTATACATTAGCTAGTAGTTCCACTTACCAGCTCTTTCCTTCCCCTTCCTTTTTTTTAAAGCTATTCATTAATTGTAAGTGTTCCACACAGACAGGTAAAGTACTGAAGTCCACCATAGCTGAAAGTTATTTCTAACTAAATACAATCTTTTTATTCTTTTAATTAAATTACACCGTAACAGTTTCACCCTTTTGCTTTAAATGTGCAGGTATCTGATTAGTTGCATTTTCTCTGTGCTCCCAACATGTGGAATTTCATGCTACTTTACACAGTAACTTAGACTAGGCTGAATCACTTTTATTAGTGAGCCCCCCAATTAGAGGAGAAATAGGCAAATGGGAAAAAAAAAAATTTCGTAAGTATAGCTAATACCAATTAGCTATTTTTATATTTTTATTTTTTTTTAATGTAAGACAGATTAGCTTTTAAAATCTTCAGATGCTTCTGGAGGCATACTGTGGTGTTCGAATATGACATCAAAATAGTGAAATATGGTTTTATATTTGTCCACAGACTTCAGAAAAAAATCAGAAATTGTCTAAAAAGCCTTCACAGTATTTTCCAAAAAAATTCCAGATCATTCTTCAATTATCTGTTTCAGACCCACTGACTAACATGGAAGGAAGTAGCACTGCAATTCCTTGTGAATACAGCAGTAACACTACAAACACTGATGGTTTCAGCGTTGTCTGGAAATTAAACAGAAATGCAGTGATTACAGTCCTGGCCACCTTCAATGGTACATCTCACTCTTACCAGCCTCGAGTCCAGATTAACCAAACTGACTTTTCCCTGATGTTGCATGATCTTACTGCAAGTGACAGTGGAGAGTATCTGTGCAATATTTCAACACCTCACTACACAAAACTTACTGTGAGAACTTTGCAAGTTGGTAAGTTGCCGCTCTTTCTGCTTCAGAGGATGGGGACCAGTGAGGGGAATCCAGAGCCAAAGAGTCCATCAGAAATCTGTAAAATATTAAGAAAAATCGTATTGTACAGCTAGTACATGTGGGTAGAAGAGATATTGTATTTATTATTGTTGTCCCAGGGAAAAAACCCCATACCTAACGTGTTTATTTAAAGACTTGATGTTTCTTTTTTTCAATCAGCAGCTTCCTGTGGCAAAGATCTCAAAATCAGTGGCCGCCCTCAGTTGCCACTGACTCCTGTCAGAGCCAAGGGCACAGGGAACTCTCAGAATCATGTCCTAAATGCTTCACTAATAGCAAATACGATCTTTAAAGGTAGAAGGGAGATGAAGGGAAACCCAAAGGTGTGGTATAAATTTGCCTACAGAAGAAACCTTGTTGAGGAGAACACACAGTTGTTATTTTCAAAACTTTAATTCTACACAGCAGGCCTTTTTTAGACCTGGGGATATATATGTTTATATGCATGCTTGCATTTTTATGAACTGTACTAAATTTCCAGCTGTGAAGTCTTAGTTACAGTTATTTCATTGTCTCCAGTTTCAAGGAGACTTACTGATTAACTTTTCTGTTGAAAACTCTTACTGAAGGTTAAAAAAATTTACTCCAGCTGTCTAAAGCTATTGTGCAAACAAATTACAGATTTGTTCAAAACCAGTATGCTGTTTGGGATGTAGCCTTCTTAAATCTCAGTCCAAAGAGAGGGGGGAAAAAAACGCTGTTCAAGCAGTAGCACATGGGTATTTTATGCAATTAAACACAATCACCTGAAAGACTGAGAATTAATATCGGGCTGAACTAATACAACATTTGGTATTTTTAAGAAGGAACTTGAAACAAGCCAGTAGGACGTGAAAATCAGAGGCAACATAGAACAAAAGGGGCTAGAATAAGTGATAATAATTGCGTATTTTTGTCTTCCTTTCTCCCACCTCCCCCATGGTAGTTTAGTTTCAGTCTGGAATCTTGATATTGTGTGTGTTTTAAATGTCAGTGGCTATATGCAACCTGAAGGAGGGGAGTTAGATTAAAGAAAACAGTTAAGTCAGTCAGACAAATACACTTCCTTGCAGCTCAAATTCCAGCATGATCTGTAAACCTAATACTGTGCCTGTGAAGTGGAGAGCATTGAACACCTCCAAGGAGTTACACACTTAACTGATGCTCCTAACTTACATGCACAAGTCCATCAGTCTGCCCGTGCATTCACTGGAGACAGACGTGCACACCTATTCAGTCCAGGTATGGTCTGGATCATCCTCTACTAATGCCTTTCTCTAGCTACTCTCTGCGGATGGATCTTACAATAGCCATAGATGATACAGGTTTCCTCTTTAGTGGCTAAATACTGTGTCGCTTACAGAGTTTTCCTACTCATGGACGAGAAATAGGGTATACAGAACAGGGAAGACACTTACCAGAGGGTGGTAAGCATCTTTGTGGCAGCATGATCTGAAATCAGATAGAGGCAGTAGGGCATAAGGGAATGAGCTAGATCAGTATGTTGGATAGTGGTCATAGCACAGCAGCTGCTCAACCATCAGAAAGATTTCCAGGTGCCACTGAAAAGGGGACTTTTAAGGCGAAAAGTGAGACGAAGTTACAGCCATTTCAGAGGCCGCCTCCTGTGTAAAGAAAGGTTGCAGCTTAAAGATGCTCTACCGAAAGAGCTGACAAGATATAAACATACATCTGCATACCTCTGGGGACAGAATCAAGCTAAAGGCAATAGCTAGGTTAAACGCTCTGGTTCGGCAGTTCTCATTTTTAAACTGTTTGCCAGACATCCATAGGAAGTTTCCAGAGGAATGTAGTATTTTTCAAATCCTTTGGATTCCGCAGCAGTGGAAAGGAAGCCTGAAGTAGAAGAACTGTACTTAAAGAAATGAGTCCTTGGGGTCTGAGTGTTCTCACGTTGTTGAAATTGGTTGGAGTAACAAGGCGCTTGGTGCCGTGCAGAGGCTTCTGCTAGACGGGCTCCTATCTCCTGTGGAATCCGTTGTTACTGCCCACCTCAGGACCTGCTGCTTTGCGTGCCCACCTGGATTGCACGGTTGCGTCATGATGTCAGGAAGCGTTTTAGGTGAAAATTGCAAAGGTTTCACAACAGAAATCATGAAATCAATACTCCAGGCTGGACAACGCTTACTGAGTTGTTCTACTGGAAATCAGCAGTACTGTGAATGGCACCGAGCACTGTACCTGGAGGCAGTGTTTCCCATACTGGGCAGTTAATTGTTTTTAAATGGGATTTGTATTAAGAAGTTGTCAAATCATATTACATGAACACACATGGAATTTTGTATCAGCACAATTAAGTAAAATAATCTGCTTTCAGCTATTCACACTTAAGTCATTAAAGTATCACTTTAAAGTCTTATATTACAGGTCAAGTAATGTGAACATTGTTGTATTAGTAACATTAAAAAGAAACTGAGACATTGTCCCTAAATCATAGCTCTTAGATTATAAATAAGAGAAAAAATTGTAGCCTTGATATACTTGTTGAACAATAGCAAGCATTAATTTGTGATATAAAGCACTTCTGTTAAACTTTTTGTAATTTGTATTTTTAAAGAGAATTCAGGTGACACTGTGAAAATTGTGGCAGGAGTGATTACTGCAGTGGGGGTAGCAGTACTAGGTTTCTGCATCTGGTTCAAGGTACGTACAACCATTACGGGATTCTTTTTAAAGGTACTATTAGGCTTAAATCTAGACCTTGAATGTTTAACCAAAACATAGATTTGATTTTCATGGGTTAAAGCGTACAAAAAAGACAGAAAATATAGGATGACAGGTGTCAGCGTAAATAAATTGTCCTCATTCTTGATATTCTCTATGTCCAGAAGGCCTTCTTTGGTACGTCTATGCAGTAGTATTTTGTTTGTAACAATGTTAACATGCCCTTCCCTTGACCAGATGTTCTCCTGTGCTCTATGAAAAAGTGAAAAACTTGATTACCCTTCACAAATACTTGCTTTTTTTAAAAAAAAAAGGTTGATTTTCTCTGACTTGTGTTTAAGACCAAGAAAACCCCCCGAAAAGCCAGCCCAAACCAAAACATGAAGTCCATCAAACAATGCCCATACCTAGTCTTCTTTAGAGCCCAAATTACTATTTCAATTATATACAACGTCAAAGCTCACCAAGGCTTCAGTGTGAAAAGTTATACTAGTTGCTTTATTTAGGAGACTGTTATACCCATATGGTCCCTGATCTCATCTCTCTACACATCTCTCCTATTTACTGGAGTACAGCATCTTCAAGTGGATGCATTTTATTCTCATGTGTTTGTAATAGGCTGTTTGTCTTAGAATATTCTGTCTCCTTCCTCTGCATTTGTAGTGAGTATCCTTAAAAAACGAACTTTAGCTCTTAGTCCTTGGGGTACATCTTTTTGTGTCTGACAGTACAGCTCTATCCATGGAGAGATATACCTTCAAACTCCCTGGGCCTTAAGATTTTGTCACAGCCTGAATGTGGTAAGCTTCAGGAGATGTTTTGTGACGGTTACCATTAAGTTCAACAAGAACACACCAGAAAGACAACTCTAAAATGATTGAATCTCATTCTTTTTTTCATTTTCCTCTCACTTAGAGATTCACTTGCATGCTTGTTATTGGTCAATTTTAATCCTAACATGCTTTAGAGATAGTAACATACCTTCGAGATGCAGCTGTTTAATTTAAAGAATTTAAGCAAGATTCATTTATGTTGGGACCTGTTGAGACCTTTAACATATCATAATCCAAGAGGAAGTGGAATGATCTACAGGTTATCTCAGCTCTGGTTATGTGCATGGAGGACTACATTGAAGAAGCAGTAATATTTATGCACTGTTATGTGGATGTTTATTTTACTCAGCTAATGTTAAAATGAAAAATACTGACTTATATTTATAGGGAGTGTGTCTTGTTCTGTTCCCACTAGAGGATTAATTTTACACATTGGTAGTTCTTACAAACATTTTTGTTTTGACTAGAAACGCAGAAGAGAAGGAATCATATAAGCACCTTGACATACCGGAAGAAAATCCCTCTCTGCGCAGAGAGATGCTACTGAGATTGCAGCTGAAAAGAAGAAAGAATTCCTTCACCTTCCTTCTTGAATTACAGTAAGAGCCAAATGGAAATGTTGTTATCTGAGCAACAGTAACAAACAACTGAACTGACAGGGAAAAAAAAAAAAAAAACCAGACAATTGACACTTGTATGTGAGGTGTCAGCATGAAAAATTGGAACTTGGATATCCTAAAGGCACAATGAAAAAGTTTCCACAGAACAAGATTCAACTTTGAGAGATTTTTTTTTTTTTCAG